TATATATATATCGTTAGTGGCGGATCCAGAACAAAAAATTAACGGGGCACAATTAAAATATATATAAAATAAAAAAAATAATAAATATATATCATCTAAAAAATATTTACATTTTACAACTAAATGCTATAGTTTTTTAATTTTTTAACTCTATACATAATATTTTTATTTGTAATTGTTTAAAATAAATTTTTTCGATAAAATCTATTCTCAAAACTGAAATATTTATATAAAATTCACTCAATTTCATTAAATTTGAAATGTTAAAATCAAAAAATGAGTCAATAGAATTTAAAACTGTAATACAAATTAACAGTTATGAATACACCTTTTTATATCGATTATTAAATTATTGAAATTATAAATTAATAACAGTATGTGCAAATGGATCATTTATGTTATATTCTAACCAATAAATGTTAAACTAGATTGAATTAAATAGTTTAAATCTATTTTATATCTTTTTGAAAAGTTATGACCACATGATTGATAAATTCCTAAATATTTACATCTTATCAACATGATTTAAAAACAAATAATCCAAATCAATTTGTTCATATATCAAAAGATTAATTTAAAATTTGATACATTACTGATTTGGAAACGAATATCGATGCAAAATTTCGTTTAAAAAATTATTCACTAGTTTTTCTATCAAGTCAAATATAAAATTAAATAAATATATAAATAATAAATTAATAAATATGATCAAAATATAGAAAAAAATGAAGAAAAATAATATTTCCTTAAAACTAAAATCATAATATTTATAGAATTTAAATTCTATTAATTGTAGATATTTTTAATATTTTGATGTTTTTTTAAAGAATTATATGTAGAAATAAAAAAAGATAAAAATGTAAAGAAAATATGTATTAAGTAACCTAACCCTAACTTTTAAGAAAGAAATACTAAATAAAAAAATGTGGGATTAGAAAGAAATTGAGATAAATGAAGAAAAAAATAGTGGGGGCAAACAAATTTTTGGAATGGAGCATCTATAAATATTATTTAATTATTTTTTAATTTTATAAGGAAACTAGACAAAATTTAAGTAATTTAGTGGGGCCATGCCCCCACTCATTAACAAATAAATCAGCCCATGTATAATGTCGTTTCTAGTGTCCAAAATGATGATAATGGTCCCTTATATAGGATTTTCGAATTAACACAAAAATCAAGGGTTAATTAGATAATTTTAATTGGATACGTTATTCCTTTTCCACTCAAATCTAATCAGACATCATATGGTGGATTATATGTAAGATGATCCATCTTCAATTACAAAGTTATCTCTTTATATAGACATAACTATTAATACTATCTCTCATTTCAATTCCAATATACTAAAAAATAAACCAAATCAAATAATTATAATAAAATAATATATAATTATTAATAATAACACCATTAATTTCAGATAAGAAAAATAGAATACTATAATTTTTCAAATCGGATTTTTTTTAATAGAATCTAAGATAACAAATACCAACTATTAAAATGGATATCCACAAATTAAAATGTTGGGGGAAAATGAAATAACATTATACTTTAGGGTGAAAAGTGAATTTAAAAATAATTTTGCGTGTTTATATAAACAACCACGGCAACAACCGTTTCATATCCCCATCAATAAGATTCATTATATAATAGGCCCCGGCGATATAGAAAGATTCTTATCCACGTCGGATTCGCCGGTAAACTACAATGAAGTTTTTCGCCGGCGACTTTTACGTTATCGTTCTCATCCTCTCCGTCGCCGTCTCCGCCGTCTCCGGCAGAAGAGATCTTCCTGGTGACGTTATTAAACTGCCGTCGGAATCTTCTAGTTTTTTCAGACCGACCAGGACCGCTGATTCCGGCGACGATGGTTCGACTGTCGGAACGAGATGGGCTGTTCTCGTCGCGGGATCTAATGGATATTGGAATTACAGGCATCAGGTATTCTTTGACGCGATTCTCTGTTTGATTGCAGGATACTTCTCTCGCGGAGATTTTTTATTTTGCTTGTGATTGCACGCCTGTGTTTTTATGCCTCTTTGTTTTAACGTTTTAAATGCATTATCATAGTGTGTATTTTGCGATATGCGGATTGGTTATCAGGAACACTGATGTGAATTTTCAGCTGAGTTGTTCTGTTTGAGTTTTGGTGCGAAGTAGTTGTTAGTCTTTGCAAATTATTGTAGGGTTCGAATGGAAGAATCCCAGTGGATGTTGCATTTGTATTATTCTGTTCCTGGATTAATTCCGATGATTATTGTTCTTAGCATTTGTGAGTTTTGTGTAGCTTGAATTCATAGAGGCTTTGTCAGACTTGTGATTTCCAATATTTCAGGCCGATGTTTGTCATGCATATCAACTTCTAAAGAAAGGTGGATTGAAAGAGGAGAACATTGTGGTTTTCATGTATGATGATATTGCAAACAATGAAGAGAACCCAAGACCAGGAATCATTATTAACAGTCCTCATGGAGAAGATGTCTACGAGGGTGTTCCCAAGGTTTGATTTCTTTGGATTTAGTCTTGGTTTCGATTCGTGAGATTTTTTTTTTGTAATGGGTATGCGCCTTACTTGGTTGAAATTTGAATTTATATGGTAAGGACTACACTGGAGATGAAGTGAATGTGGATAATTTGTTTGCTGTGATCCTTGGGAATAAAACTGCACTCAAAGGAGGTAGTGGGAAGGTTGTGGATAGTGGTCCAAATGACCATATCTTCATATACTACACGGACCATGGTGGGCCAGGAGTGCTTGGTGAGTTCTATTGATTGTTACTTGTGTAACACCTTAATACCTTATGCAAGTTTCAGTTGCTTTTTCTCCTTTCTTTCACGAGTTTTCACCTGTTACACCTTAAGTCATCTCCAATGGCGTTCCATTGCGATTGTCAGTTAACCTCTGTGTCTGTGATGCTGTGTTTTTCCTGACAAAATTTGATGGTTTGATCTTCATTTTTATCTGCAGGGATGCCAACTTCCCCTTACCTGTATGCAAAAGACCTCATCGATACCCTTAAGAAAAAACATGCTTCTGGGACCTATAAAAGCATGGTAAGTGATTACCTCCTTCTGCGACTCTTTTGTGTTTTCCCTTGATGATGGGCTTGAAAAAAACTATTATTTCCTAAGCAAAATGGAAAAAAAAAAACTGCAGGTGTTTTATCTCGAGGCCTGTGAATCTGGAAGTATCTTCCAAGGTCTTCTTCCAGAAGGTTTGAATATCTATGCCACTACTGCATCAAATGCGGAGGAAAGCAGCTGGGGCACCTATTGCCCTGGGGAGGATCCTAGCCCTCCGCCGGAATATGAAACCTGTTTGGGTGACTTATACAGTGTTGCCTGGATGGAGGACAGGTAAACTAAAGAACCGTAGTATACATCCTTGTTGCTAAAGGAGTTCTATGCTTGGGAAAACAGGATTCCGAATGTGTTAAACTTAGTGTTTAGTATTCACTAAGAATCTCAATATATGGTGTCTAATTATCTGATTCTATGAACAGTGGCTTACACAATTTACGGACAGAGAGTTTGCACCAGCAATATGAACTGGTAAGCTTTCACATGCTGGGTGTAACATGTGATTCCATGAAAAAGCCTTTGAGGGAGAGTGACTTCTCCGGGACTTTCCTTAGTTTGGAAAGTGATGTTCTTTAGACCATAAGATGAACTGGGCATAGTTGTTATAGTTCTTTTCTTATAAGAAATGTGTCTGATTTCCCGTATTTATGTTTGCAGGTCAAAAGGAGGACAGCGAATGTTGGCGCTGCTTATGGTTCTCATGTCATGCAGTTTGGGGATATAGGACTTAGCAAGGATCATCTCTACCTTTACATGGGAACAAACCCGGCAAACGATAACTTTACCTTTGTGGAGGAGAATTCACTGAAGCTACCTTCAAGAGTCACAAATCAGCGGGACGCCGATCTTGTTCACTTCTGGGATAAGGTTCTTTCCTTTCTTACTCATCCCTTACCTTACATCTGAAATATACAATTTTGCTTTGTGTTTCCATTTATGAAATCGGTGTGAAAGAAGCTATTTCACAGTTGTAGATACGGCTGATTAAATGATTCTTTGTTTTTTATAATTGTTCCTGCACAGTACCGCAAGGCACCAGAAGGCTCTGTCAGAAAAGTTCAAGCTCAGAAGGAAGTCCTTGAAGCCATGGCTCACAGACTGCACATCGATAACAGCGTAAAACTCATAGGAAAACTCTTATTCGGAATGATAAAAGGTCCCGAGGTGCTAGATCATGTCCGGCCTTCTGGTCAGCCGCTTGTCGATGACTGGGACTGCCTTAAAACCATGGTAAATATTCCTTGCCCCGTCAACTTGTTACTGACACCATGAAATCCCTTCACATCATTGAATCATCTCATACGATTTCTACACAAAAATGGAAAAATCGTTTTGGAATTCACTCCACTTGCATAAAAAATTCATGTTCTTGCTTTTGTTGCACCATGAGAAAAAAGAGAGCGGAGCCCAACTCAATTCTCTTACAATGCAACTGGTTTATCCACATCACATCACATCAAGCCCCATACTTCAAATTCTCTACGTTGATTAAGAAGTTTTGAACTTTCAGGGTAAGAGAGACACATTTACCACATTGTTTGTACTTGTGGTTATGTATATATATATATATGTAACAGGTGAGAGCTTTTGAGAGGCACTGTGGATCGTTGTCTCAATACGGAATGAAACACATGAGGTCCATAGCGAACATATGCAACGCCGGTGTACAGGTGACGCAGATGGAGGACGCTGCCGCTCAGGCCTGCCCGACTCTTCCTGCTGGTCCTTGGAGCTCTCTTCGCCGTGGATTCAGCGCTTGAATTTGAATCTTACTACGTACTGATGCCATCCATCCATGTATGTATATGTTTATTCATTTCACCACAAATCCCAATGTGGGATGACTGTCTATTTCCCTCCCTTTGTTCTTCTTTCTAAATAGCCTCTGGTTTATTTGGATAGCCTTTCGTTGCGTGTGTATCGGGTTACCAATGTACAAAGGTCTATAGAAGTGATGCCGACGTAAATATTATGATATTTGTTGTGTTTAGAATCTGTGGACTTCAGTTGAGAAAAAAACATCGACAGAACACTTCAAATTCTGCAAAACCACCCATCTCTAATCTCGACGTGAACTCTCTCAGATACAAAGATTTGGGGTTATTTAGAAGAATTTATGGGAATCTGCACAACTGATACTGATTGTCGATTGAAGCCAAACCGAATACGAAACCACCCGCCGATACCGATAAACCGATACTGAACCATACATATACCAATTGGACCAAACTTAATACCAGATTCCCCACTCCTAAATTGATTCGACAACGACAAACTTTGGAACTGGGGGTGACTTTTACAGCTGAAGTTACTAGTAGCGAAATCCACCAAAGCGAGAGATTATGCCAACGCCAACTTATTAGTAGAGAAATCCACTGAAGAACCAGAAACTAGTTTTTTTTTTTTCCTGAGAGAACCCCCCCCCCCTTCTATTTATTTGACGACTCTGAATCTTGCACGAAGGTTCGAAATCATTACAGGGCACTCTCCCTTCTCGTCGTACTCTGCGAATTCTCCGCTCGACAAATCGATGCCTTCGAATTTGGTTCCCTCTAACTGCAAATCCAAACCATCAATGGTCAATGACGGTTTCGGAATGCATCAATGGGGCTAGACTAGAGTAGCGCTGCTGATTATCGAGAACAAAGTATTGACTTACAGATTCAGCCTTCCAGCCATCACCAAACACGAAATCCTCGGGTTCGTAGCCGCGGAAGTCGAACGCCATTACAGGGGCATACTTCCCTGCTTCGGTGTCTTCTTGAGTTAATGGTCGGCCTTTGCTTGGAACCATTGTCACGTTCCCTTCCCTTTCACAGAACTTACACTGCAAGTAGATAAAGAGGCGAAACACAGAGATTCTCAGTTAGTATACTTCCATCCAGTTAAATATTGCCATTGACGCAAATAATTGAAATGAACCGAAATTAAAAAGGTATACGAAGCGGAAGAGCAATTCAATGATTGCTGCAAATGTTTTTCTCCCTTATGACGACAGCGGAACCATATCTATTATTATCACCGGCTCGATTCTTTAAACTTCATTAATTAAAAAATGCAACTCAGCCATGATTTATCTGCATGGCATTATGTGAAAGCAAGGAGAACCAAGCTACATCTTTCCAGCAAAACAATCAAATAACCATATTGACCTCCAGGAATTTTGCTATTACAACATACATAACTAATGATTCAAGAAAGATTAAGATCACCCATTACCTTCTGTACAAGATGACAAGTACCCCGGCTACCAGGAACAGGAACTGTCTCACCCAAGGTCACACATGTTTCTTTTGGGGTCATCTCCCCGCAGTTTCCACATCTCAACTAAAATTCAGAAGAATACAGCCATATTGTGCCAAGAGAGCACAAAATAACGATTTAGTTTGCATAGAGAAGAGAAAGACAAGCAATAGTAACACCGGTCACAAATGCACAATTTATATCGTCATAAAAGCAAAACCCAACCGGAAGAGTATATAAGTTGATGCACGCACGCGCACCCACACACGAGGCGCACACAAAGCTGAAAGCATCATTCATTGCATCACCACCGCAGTGTTAACGGACAAGGAGAGCAACAAGAACAACACTCGGACTCAACACACGACGGACAACTAGACTGTTAGCAACTAAGCAAATGCAAAATATTTTCTCAGATAAACTTTGGAGAATAGCAACAGAAGCTTGCGGAATAGCTGTCATTCCGATGCTGAAGCACTGAAGAAGAAGAAGAAGAAAAAACAATGATCAATTCAGCTCTGCCTGAGAAATCTGTGACATAATCTGAAAGTTTCCCATCGTGATACTTCGGCTATACTGTCTGAATAAACATCAGGAAATTCCGACGGAATCTAACATCTGTAAACAAAGCAAGACCTAAACCTCGCAATCCAACATTGATGCTCAAACAGGAAAACAAATACGCACGTCAGTTTCAGCCAATTCCCAACGAATTGATCGAGAAGAAAACAACTCCAGCATCCGATGATGTAAAAGAAGCAAATGCAAAACATAAAACCCATAAGAAAGTCAATGGAAGGAGCGGAAAAAAGAAGAACAACGCTAAGCCTAAGAGGAAGAAACCGATGAAAACAAACCAGAATCCTCCATTTGAAGCTCAATCAACAGGAAATCCAACAAAAAACCAGCAAAAATTCGAAGTAGGAAACGACGCCTGAGACAGAATCGAAGAAGAAGGATTCGCGAACCTTGAAGAAGAAAGGGAACTCAGGATCGTCGCAGCCGCCACTGGGTTGAAGATTTGTGAGATTCTCGAGGTCAGCGGAGATCTCAAGCACAAGGTTCACCATTTTCTTTCTACTTTCTCCGATCTTGGCCGATTTCCGAGCGTCGACGAGCAAGCTCGTGAATAATGAAAGCGGTTCTTTCTTCCTTCTAGAAACTTCCACCCTAATGCTTTCTTATATTTTTCTTTAAATTTTGGAAAATTCCCCCATTACATAAAATAATGTTCAGAAATGCACCGTAATAAGTAAGCAACCCATGTTTTTTTTAATTGGTAAAGATGTCAATAGAAATACTTTCTAAATATCATCTAATCATCTTATTAAATCATTTGATAATTTGTTTAATTTTATTTTTTCTCACTTGTTAATTTCTAATTTACATCTACCTCTAAATTTAACTATAACTTTAAACCCTAAAAAGTAAAGACTTTTGAGTGTTTGGAATTATGTTTTAATTAAAATATTAAAATGAGGAGAGAAAAATCAAAATAATTAAAAATTACTACCAAATAAGATAACTAAAAGGATAATTAGGAAAAAATGTAGGAGGTTATAACATTAATCAAATTGTTAATAATTATCAATTCGTGCATTTTTATTATTGTACCACGGCATATCTCTACTAATTTATTTATACGCTGGGCTGTTATTCGGTATTTGTACAACGTTTTCCAGTTAAAAAGGGGTAACCAAAGAAATTCTAAACATAGAAATTGAAATTAAACATGAGAGCAGAAACATGAACCAGTTCGTCATGCTGACGTAACTAGTTATATTCAAACAAACCATATAATATAGCTACATTCACACACACACAGAGATACAAAAAGGAGAGAAT